GATGGAGAAATTAGAAGTTGGTCGTCATTTGTTAATATAAGGTCCAGAGTTGAAGGTTCTTGATTTAAGCGAAAGCGGGTAGGTTCGTTTATAAGTTGTTCAAGATTTGAGTCTACAATAAAATTTAAGAAGTGTGAAACAGAGTTTTGCGATACTTCAAGACCTGCAGTAAGGGGCCAGGAAATTTCTGGATAGTTGAAATCCCCAACCACCACAAGATTGTCATGGGAAATAGATAGATTTGAAAGTACCTCAAAAAGCTGTTGGTCGTTTTCTAGAGAAGTTTTCTTTGGAGGACGATATAAACATATCAGAGTGGTTGAGAAAGATTTGTATGATAGTTTTAACGAAATTAAATCTATACTGGGAATGTTGATATCTAAGGCGGTGACAGAGTAGGTTGAAGTGATGAATGACGCTAAGTAGATGCAGACCCCTCCACCAACATTATTTGCACGGTCGCTTCTGTAAATTGTAAAACCGGGAATGTTAATAAGTGAATCGGGAATAGACAACTTGAGCCAAGTTTCAGAAATAAGAATAATGCTGGGAGAAAAATGTTGCACTGAGCACAAAAAACAATTAAATTTAGCAGTTAGAGAATCCAGGTTAGTATACATAAGGGTCCAATCGTTAAATTGTGGAGGTTGTCGGCTAGCGGGATTGAAAGGGATTTATCTGCACAATTTTTGGAATCCCGTTATAATATTTAATTGTTAGGTCATTTTCGCCATTCCGTTTTTTAGCTTCTAATTCATCTCTTAAGTTTTGAAGAATCTGTTGTTGGGTAGGGGTTTTGTCGTCGATAATGGTAATGTTCTTCAATGTTGCAATTTCTAAGACTTTCTTTTTGTTTCGTAGAACGTTTTTGGCGGCGTGTTCGGAGGACATAATTACTTTGAGCCATCGTGGATAGCGACTATTTTGTTCAGCTTTTCCAACGCGGAAAAAAGTAGTTGTACGAAAAACATAATACTTATAATGATGGTTGTTCTTGTTCAAATATTTCTCGAAGGTTGTAATTTGGCTCAATTTAAATAGTACTACAAATCCATTTTCTATCACACCAGATTGTTTTAACGACTATTTTTCGGCTGCTGCAGAAAAGGCAATAATTTCAATAACGAAATCAGATGTGGACCTGAGAAGGTCTATGAATGAAACTCATGGGCGAAGTTAAGGGGGGGCTTGGGGGAGCTAAGCCCCCCAAAAATCAAATTAGACCCCCCAAAAATAATTCAAACATTTCTCGCACACCCACACATTTCAGAACAGAAATTAAAAAATAAAAATAATCGTGCTATTTGATTAATTCTGCAATTGTACATTTTATCCAGGAGACAGTGACTATTTTTCGTACAAATTTTTTCAGTTGGTGTGTATGAAAATATGTTCTCTTAGTAACAAAAAATTAAATTTTTGAGTCTGGCACTTATTTTCCCAGTCATAAATATTTTACATTTACTACAATAAAACATAAAGTTTATCAAAATAGCACACTGGCTTATTATCTCAGAGAGCGGAAATTGAGTCTGTCTGAAAATTTTCGGATTAAAAAAATTGGCTGATATTTTTCCAGGCTTAAAATTCAAATCAATTGATACAATCATAAACTGTAAATAATGATAAGTCTGGCTGATTTACGAAATTGGCAAATGAGTCTGGCAAGATCTTCAAAAACGGAAAAATATCATAGTTTTGCTTTTATTTATATTATATTATAATTTTACACCTCTATTTTATAGCCGATCATATGCTGTTATTTTAAAACGCTTTCATGACAACCAGAGGAAATTTTTCTCTTGGTGGGTACCTTAAAGAAATTATACTGAATTTTTTTTTTTTTTTTTTTTCATTTAAAAAGCTCTTTCATGCATATGATATTATGATTTAAAAATTTGCTATTTCAGTGGTTAATATTTTATTTAATAAAAATTATAACTAGCTAGAAATACACTACATTTATTAGGTATTTTGCGTCAACTAAACGCCTTCAAGTTTTAAAATTTTAATATTTTGGTGTAAAATTTTCTTACCGAATACCAGAAGTGGCTAAATTATTAACAGTAAATTTTTGCTCACTTACGAATATTTTAAAAAAATTCATAAGTTCGAAAAAATTTCCGAAAATAATTCAGGCACTAGTGGTATTCTAAGTGAAAATTCCACAGCTGTAATTTTGAACCAATCAAAATACGTGTTTTTGACAGATCACCATGGCAACGGAGGTATTTTAGTGGAAATTTTTTTCTCGTGGGGTACCCAACAGCGAATTATACTGGAAATTTTTTGACGTTTACAAAAACAGACCATTTTTGACAGACTGGTTTTTATTTGTTCACATAATAGGTTTAGTTTTGATACATTTTAGTTACAATGCTAAGGTGTTTTCTATATTCTTCGTTTTTCAAGTTGGAGCCACAATCCTCTATTAATCCGAGTAAGTAAGTCATGGTGCAATGATTGATCATTACATCAGATAATTTCACGCATATTTTGCATAGCGTATGATTTTCAAATCGTTTCATTTTTAAACAAATAGGTAATTTTGTTGGTTTTACTTGCTGTGCAATATTCTTTATCGCAACAAAACGCGAGTTATTTAATGTTTTGAACTGTCAAAATACAATGATCACAGCCTCCTACGATTGATGCTTGCTGACGCTGGTTATGAATTTCATACCATTTTAAAGCGCTCATAACGCATGTTAATAAAAACGCAGAAAAACAATTTTCTACCACTTGTAGTTATTCAAAACTTACGTAAAATTAAAGAATATACTATTTTCCATTTTCAAATGGTATTCCCATGCAACTACAATGAGTAGAAATAAGCAATTTGAAGGCCTAAATAATTGCAGCTAAACATTTTTTTACGTCGGGCCGCTTGACAAACTGAAATTATATTCGAGTTTAGGGTCTCACTTAGTTACCATGACAACTCAACAATCAAGGCGACAACACCTTTTATGTTTCACTGGTGACTTGGAGAAAATAATTTGCATTGTTGAGAAACGAAAAATAAATTTTAAAAATATTTAATTTTCAACCATAATTCGGCGTGGAATTTTCTTACCGAATACCACGCGAGGTCAAATTAATATCAGGAAATTTTTTCTCGCTCATGAATATTTTTAGAAAATTTCCCGAGTCGCAGACGAGGGAAATTTTCAAAATATTCATGAGCTCGAAAAAATTTCCGGAAATAATTTGACCTCTAGTGGTATTACTAGTGAAAATACACGTCTGTCTGACATTTACAATCACGAAGGCCTGCCAGACTCGCAAGTAGTGTCCGACCGAAAGTTCGGTCATGGTTTCGGCCAACTTCGGCCTAAAATAAGCCGAAAATGCAGCCGAAGGTGAAAATATTTTCGAGAGTTTTCAATCATACTTGGTGGTGTCCGACACAATGGCGACTGTGCCGGGTACCATTCCTGCACAGTGAACGTACACACAAACTTCTCTGCTGTGTTCCAAGTGAACAGTCTTCAGTGCTCCTGGCCTAATTTATTCGGATCGGAAGTGCAATTTTTTGGGTGGAAACATGAAAAAATATTATTTCTAGCCTACACCGTTAGACTGTTTACTTATGAATATTAATTTAATAATAAGTAACAAACACATTTTATCAGCTGAATTCGTTTGTTTTTTTTTTATTGAAATTATACATTACCTATATAATTACCTTTATAATATTATTTTTTGCTGATGCAGAAATGGTTGCTACTTTGTAATTCACTTGCTTTTTTTTATTTCAAAAAATAATAAAAAAAACTATGTCATTAAATTTATTAATGGCTTCTTTATTTGATCACATAAATAAATAGGTAATAAGTAAATGTAGCTAAAATTTATAATATGAAATAATTAGTCTAAAACAAGTATTACATTAAGATATTGCAAATTTCAATAAAAAATTGTCTTAAAAGAAAGTTCTTGTTTCTATTTCGGTTTCGGCCGAAACTAAGAAAGGAGCCAAAATTCAGTTTCTGTTTCGGTTATAAATCCCTGTTATAAATCCCTGACAAGCCAGGTAGTTAAACGAGGAGAGAAAAACCTAAAAGTGGCGGTGGAGCTGAGGACAAAGCATCTGCCTTTCATGCAAATAGCCCGGATTTGAATCTGGGCTAGAAGTTATTTTTCTTATGTTTATTTTATTTTATAAATTAATAAAATTCATAAATTATTTTAAAATTAGTTATTTTGTCTTAACTTAAAATAATTTTTAAATTTGTAGATTTTCGTTAGCGTGCCGTAGAAAAAATATACTGTACAACTCAAGTGGATTTCCATATCCACTCTTGTTGCACAAACTACTATTCCATGACTTCCAAAATGTAAGAAATTTTTGTGATGAAAATTTTTCAGTATTTTCACCTGATATAAATATATATTATATACGATATATTATCCATACTTAACTTTAATAAACTTCTTACTACTAGAACTATTACATATTATATTAGATGACTAGGGCTAGGGCTTTAGCCCCCCCCCCCCAGATCTGATGACGTAACTTCGCCCATGATGAAACTACTGTCCCCTGTTCATCAATTTTCTTGGGCCCAGTGACAGAAATAGAGATTAAAAACACTTTAGATAAATTAAAAAAAAAAAACTCAAATTACACCGATAGTAATAACTGTTTAGCTGAGGCTATTTTCTCAGTGTATCTGCAATTTAGAGAATCAAATTACAGAAAATTGTTTGTGAAATATTGTGATGTAGTTATTTTTTGTGGCATGTATCTTGCCTTTATATTGTTTCGTGTGGGGGAATATATTAATATTTAGTTTCGCCAGCAATTACTGGGATTGTAGCCATACCTCTGTTTTATGTGAGTTCTTTTATGGTTCATACACACTGGCGTGTTTTTTGAAAAATATCAAGTATAATACGTCACTGAGATAAAATTATTATAAAAAAATCAAGAAATTTACTTGATTCCAAATGTTCAAATATGCAATACTCTTATTAATATGTGTATATTTTTTAAGGAATATCAATCCAGTGCAGGATACAATGATCCTCTACAAAGTAATGGGGTACTCCAAGCTATTGAGGAAGAAAATCTAGAAAAAATAGAGGAATTGGTTTCAACAGGGCACTCTCTGAATATAAGTTACAAAAATGGTAATACCCCTCTTCATATAGCAATTATAAAAAACAAGTAAGGTATTTTATACTGAAATGCATTAATGTAATGTAATTAATTTCAACAAATCATTAATAATAAACGAACCAAAAGTGGTTAACAGGTTAAGCGCCATGGCAGACATCGGTGTCCGCTTAAAGCTTTTCCACATGGGCCATGGATGTCACCGGTGTCCGCCCGATTGTTGAATTTTTATTCATGCTCCTCGGCCAAACGGACGCACTTTTATAGAATGTTTTAATGCTGTGAGACCGCCGTGGCCCTGCTTTACACATCCCCGGTTCTGGGTTTCTTCTATCACGTTCCGTCCAGGACTGAAAGTTCTCCGTTTCCCTCAGCTACTAACAATCCTTTAAAAAAACATTTGGAAAAAAAATTATTTGTCGAATATAAAAGTAACATAAAATCAAATACAGTCAACTCTTGTTAATTCAAACCTGCGAAAATTCGAACCTCTCTATAATTCAAAGTCATTACGAGTTCCCTACAAAATCTCTTTATATTTCGAACTAAATCAATACATTTTCATGCACTTGGTAATTCGAACGAAACAATCATTGCTATATAACAAAACGACGCGTTAATTCGAACTCATAGGCGTCCAACACTCGACAATTCAAAGTTGCAGAGAGAAAGAGACGTAAAAATTGTAAGTTCATACGTACATTTTGCGACAAGTTCAAACTTGTATCAACGTACACGAGTCTTTGTTTTTGTTATGACTAGTTTGACTATTTGACACGCCTTCTCACGAATGGGTTTGTTTAGTTATCATTCAGTTACTGTTACTCTTTCGTTGGTGTACAGATTAAAAGTTTGTCGTAGTTATGAGCCTCTAAACTTTTGACATTGTTATAGAATAGCAGTTAATAATTAATAATTGATCAACACTTAATAATTCAAAGTTTTATTTATTTTCTCTCACAAATTTCGAACCATTGATATTTCAAACACTCGATAATTCGTAATAATTTAAGAGTCCCTCCAGTTTCGAATTAACGAGAGTCGACTGTATTAATTATTTCGCGTGGAAATCGTTGTAACAAGAAAGACAAAATCTTGGATTGCCTACACATTGCACCCAGTAAGTTGTCACTTTTTTTACTTTATTTTTGTCAAGAATACCCTGCTTTTTTTGTAGCAACCTTTGCAATACCGTCTATTTTCACGAGCTTTGCAGTCTAATTTCTGAAGTACATGAACTCTCAAGCTTACAGTAGATGTAGGGTTCTGCAAATCTTCTGAATTATCTACGAATAGCAATAAATCTTCAACAACCGAATATCGAAATTCTGTTATGGATATATTTGTTCTCTTCTGCCTGTTTGTAAATAAAATGCGCATTGACCATGGAGGTTCCTAAAAGTACCTCTATAGCTACCTTTTTATACCACCAAACACTTCTTCTCAACGCCGTGCTATAGATGGACATCTGATCCGACACGTCTATTAAACTTTTACCATTGTTGTAATCTACGATTGCTTTAGGTTTGTGTACTACACCACCGGCGTTGAACTGCTACTGTTTCGTCAGTGTGACAAGTGATCAAAACTAACACATCCCTTTTGTCGCGCCATTTCACAATACATATTCCTCGTTCATTTTCTTGAGCGATAATTTCGCCCTTTTTAAGTTTTTTGGAAATTACTTCTGGAGGGTTTTCCTTGCGATTACCTCGTAATGTTCCGAGTGGGTGGGTTTTGTGATCCAAGAGGGTATGTGCTAGCTGCATGCTTGTGTACCAATTGTCTGTAACACAAATCCTACCGCTCTCTAACAGTCTATCTACGAGGATATATCAGTATATAACGAGACTGGTGCTATAACTTCTTTCAGAGGTAACATTTTATAACCCAAAAAATGAGACATGAAAGCCTTATATTTAATGTACTACCCCGCAAGTAGGCTTTGATTTAACTTTTGACATTTGTTACAAATTAATTATTGAATTGTCAGTGTTTTGCGTACCCATCGAAAAATGAAAGTGGAGCAAAGATACGCGATAAAATTTTGTGTTCGATTGGGTAAAACACCAACTGAAACTTTTGAAATGATTAAAGGTGCATATCTAGATAATAGTTTATCACGATGTAGAGTGTTTGAGTGGCACAAAAAGTTTAAAGACGGTTGTGAATCAGTTGAAGATGAACCTCGTCCCGGTCGACCACAAACTGCGAGAAATTACACAAAAATTGCAGAAATTAACGACTTGATACAAAATGATCGCCGGATTGGCATAAAACGAATGTCTGACAATGTTAATTTGTCTTACGGTACCACTCAAAAAATTATTCATGAAGATTTAGAGTACCGGAAGATCGCGGCAAGATGGATTCCAAAAGTGATGACCGATGAACAAAAAGCGAATCGAGTGACAATTTGTCAGCAGTGGAAAAGGCAATCGCAACGTAACCCACAGTTTTTAAATAATGTGGTTACATGTGACGAAAGTTGGTTTTATCATTACGATCCTGAATTGAAGTCTCAAAGTATGCAATGGAAGCATAAAGGCAGCCCAAGACCGCAGAAGGCCAAAACTGCTAAAAGCGCTGGTAAAGTGATGCACCTGATTTTTTTTGATAAATTTGGCGTTATTTACGATCACATTGTACCTAGAGGACATACAGTAACAGGGGAGTACTATTCTAATGTACTTAGAGGACCCTTAAAGGCAAAATTAAAGAAAAAAATGCCGCTTTATCAGGACTTTGGCTGGACGCTGCATCACGACAATGCTCCGGCTCATAGATCAATGATTTGTCAACGAACAATTGAAGAATTAGGGATTGAAATTATGGTTCATCCCCCCTACTCTCCTGACCTTGCTCCATGTGACTTCCATTTGTTTCCTGAAGTCAAAAAAGAATTGAGAGGTAGAAGATTTGAGTCGGATTTAGAGCTCAACAACGCTGTGATTGGTATACTAAACAGACTATCAAAAAATGGTTTCTCAGAAGTTTATGATAAGTGGATAAAGCGATGGAATAAGTGTATTCAACAGAATGGAGAGTACTTCGAAGGATAGTTGTTGAATTTTTTTAAATAAATGTTTCGTTGTTATACTATAGCACCAGTCTCGTTATTTTCTGATACATCCTCGTACTAGGTTCATTACAACTTTGGTGGAAATTGGTATTTTATCAGGATTTTCATCTCGTTCTTTCCCAGAATATATCTTACAATTCCAAGTGTATCCATTTTCACAACAAAATTTGAAAATATTAATTCCATATTTATGCCCTTTTTGGGGGTTATATTGTTTGAACAGCAACCTACCTTGAAAGGGCACTAACCTAACCTAACCTAACCTACCTTGAAAGGGCACTACTGTTTCATCTACACAGAATGTCTTTCCAGATGTGTAGATATATTGCTAGTTTTTCACTAGTTTGTCAAGAAGCGGTTGGACTTTATATAATCTATCTCCTTCTGGGCATGCCTTGTTGTCAGAAAAATGAAACATTTTCAATAATAGTTCGAATCTATTTCTACTCATAATTTTATGAGCAACTTCGTTTTTGAAAAGCCATTTAGTGGACCAATAATCACGAATGGTAATCATTCGCACAATGTCCATATATCCCAGTAAACCTATAAAATGCAAAATTTCTTTTCGGTTGGTTGGCTCCCAAGAATGAATTCGGGCACTATTTGTAATATTTTCTGTATCCATCACACATTGGGTCGCATACAGGTTAGTTTGGTCCACTATTAGATCTATTATAGAAAAATCAACAAAAGCTAGATAGTATTCTAGTGGTTTGCAACTCTTCAAAAATGCTAGATACTCCGGCTTTATTCCATCATCAAAAGTTTCCTCAAATTGTAAATGATTTTCAACAGGTGGTCCCCAATTGGAGTTAGCTAAATTACGGAGTCCTAAGCCGATGTTATTCTCTTGATTATCAACTTCTATTTGCTGGATTTCATCTTTCTGATTCAGACTTTCTTTGCCCTTTTTGTTTCGACAACTTAACACGTTTATAAGAATCAGGGGCGTTATCGTCTTTTATAAAAGTGACATAGTCACTGATTTTTCCACCATCTGAAGATTTAGCAGTCTCGGCCGATTTTTTCAACATCTCTCTTGTAGATTTACTTGAATCACTTCTTGTGTCACTCTTTTCAGCTCCTGAACTACTACCCGATGGTCATCGTAAGAATCGTCTAAAAAATGGTTCTTCGTCAGAACTACTATCTGTAAAAAAAATTGGTAATAAGTCAGATATTTTTATATTTACTAAGCAAAAGTATAATTACCTACCTTCATAATGTTTTTCCAAAGCTAATTTTACAATTTCTTTTGAACGTTTACTCATTTTTAGTCACTGTCTAATGCCACAGACGTGCGACTGCGAACCTCAATAACAAATAATTATTTGCTGATCGCTGCTTTTACAAGCTCTGGCAGGTTCAGTAAAAGTGGAAGGGCTATGTCGTGGGAGGGAGTGTTGCACCTATCTAAAATTGCACCTTTTTCAGGCCATGGTGGACACCGGTGTCCTCCGCCTATCTGGAAGGGCCACGTCGGACACCGGTGTCCTCTTGTCCTTTTTTGAGAAAAAAAAAGTATTTGGCTTCAGCATGAACACAACATATTCAAATCTATCCAAAGAACAAGATTCAGGCAAAAAAGTGTGTTGGCCCAGGTGGTAGTTTTGTTTAAAACAGCTTGGCGCTTAACCTGTTAATAGCTATGTGCACTAACTTACATAAGCAAAGAGAACTTGTATTTCGTGCAAAATTGTTTTGTTTAAAAAATGCAAAGCACTGTCGGCATTTCGCCGTCTTCAGTGTTTATCAACAATCGTTGTAAGTATAAATACGAGCCCCTTCTCATTACAGTTGGCCCACCTATTGATATTTAGGAAATTCGTATTTAAAGATTAAAAATATAAATACTGCATGAACTTTCCAATTTTTATTAATTGAACAATATGTTTAATATCGTTTAATCATAAAAAATACGTATAAAACATTAAAATATTTATTTAACATAAAATTAAAAAAAATT